CCTTTAAGCTTTTTTTTTAAACAGCGAATATTTTATTTTTTAAAYTAAGAATCAACACAATTTCTTGACATACATAATAAAATGATTTAATCCAGTTGGTATAAAACATTGCGTAACCCTTCAATTTTCTGAGGACTCGCAAAACTTCTTTTAACACAAAAGTGATTAAGACAATCAAGGAAAATGCCAAAAACATTTAAAGGGAAGTTTTCAAGAAGCAACTAAAGAACGTTTAAATGCAGCTACTCTGTATATTAAGTAGCAAAGAGATAAATTTGTTTCATGCTGTTGGACAACTCAGTGTGTTCCCTCCTCAGGGAACCAGGCCCAAAATTAAATTTAGGGGAAATTATTTTCTTAACCCCTCTCTTCTGGAGCCTCTGACCGACCCCCCTTATTGTTTTGAACTTGCTTGTTTTGTGCTTGTCTCTTATCCAGAACTGAATCAATGACCTTATTTGTGAAAAGTAAATTACAATTAAAAACTTCCTCCTTGATTATCGTTGCAGAGTATCTGTACCTCACCTTACATTGATCGGTCTCTTTGAATTACCACAACTTATTGGACTGCCACAAAGCAGATTGTTGTTTTAACGGTCTCATTTATTCTCCTATATCAAAGAATTAACTTGCCTAATCTTAATACAGAGAACATGCAGTCCGAAAAAAAAAATCATATCCCGAATAACCAGTTTTAAAACCTCAACTGGTTGGGGAGAGTGACACTTGCAGATTTCAGGGAATGTTACTGTTCATTCATGCTCTTTATTAAGTTGGCTAAAAATGACCTACTCAGCAATTTTATTATAACTTGTAAAACGTGTCAACTGAGACAACATTAGTACAAGATAAGGACTCCCTTAACAGCAATGGATAAAAACTAATTCCAAACGAAACCGTCCATTCCTGGTCCTGGAGGGCCACTATCCTGCAGGTTTGACTTGTTTGACTGCTATAAACACACCTGGTACAGGGATTGAATTACCTATTCAGGTTTTGCAGAAGCCTGTTAATCGAACATTCRTTCAAATCTGGTGTGTTGGAGCAGAGAAACCTTTAAAACATGCCGGGATTGAACACCACTGAACTAAAGCATTAAGGTGACGCTTTTACTTTGTAAATTACAAAATAATAACAAATATCCTACAAAAACAATATTTTTAGCTGAAATGTTAGTGAGAACAACAACAACCTTGTTTGCATACAGTATATGTCTTTTTGGTTCCTTAATGAAGTGGTAAAACCGCCTTTAAATATTAAAATTAGCCAAAAACCAGACATTTTTATTTTTAATGCTTACTGCTGAGCTGTTTTTGAATAAYATTTATTTGGACTAATGATTGGGGATTTACAATCCTTCTTCTATCTTACCGTACACATTATCTGTAATTTTTTGATCATAGATAATAACTGTGAACTTACCAAGACCTTTGGGGGTGATCCCGCTGCACTCCAAAGGGTTTATGGCCCAGTAGTAGTACTTCAGGGTGTGCATCAGCTGCAGGACCGTACCAACGCGACGAATGGTGTTATAGATGGTGGCGGTGCCGATGAACTCGGATGACAAGTACGTGTAGAGGGACAGTTGGACCTGGATAAACACAGCCTGGTTATGTACTGCACATAGCCACATCCAAACACAAAATGTTTGAGGTGAAACACATTATCTGGTGGTGGTTTGTGAAGTTCAAACAAAATGTAGTTCAGCTGTTTTATGTTTTTCTTTTATTTTGAAGATTGTGAACGATTAATAGCTTACATTTTTTTAAAATTTAGTCTTAGACTAATAGTTTAATTCTAACTGAACAGACGAAACAATGGCTAGTTCAGGTGGGGCAAAGAAAAAAGTAGTAGCAATCCACTTTTGTCTAGATCCCAATCAGACTAGATGAAAACACTTCTATCCAGTCAGAAATAACTCTTTTTATTTTAAATTTGATCAATCAAAAAGCTATCTGCAACAGGTAAGATATTAATAGTTTAAATCCATTCTATAAAACCCTATTTAAGATGATTTAAAGTGCCTGCAATGTCAATTTTTTGTAATAAATAAGAAGGAATTTTTGGAAAGATAACGATAAGATTTTGTAAAAAATAAAATATGCAAAAATATGAAATGAACAGTTGTTCAGCTATTTGAATGTGAAGTAACAGGAAGTGATGTCAAAGGGGAATGTTTGCACATGAACARAGCTTTGCTACAAYGRCTAACAACCCAGACCGTAAAGAATGTGATGTTGTTTTTAGATTATTTTGATCATTATAAGAGAGAGCTAAAGAGGAGTCAGAGTTCAAATAACATTTTCAGTTTCAAAAAACAAAAGGYCAAGTTCCTTTTCTTAAAGAGTTCCCCTTTGATGTCACTTCCTGTTTCATTTTATCTGAGCCAAAGTCAAAAGAAAATACGCCAGTCGTGACAAAATGGGTACAATTGTGTGTATTAATTTAAAAAAATACAATAAAAATATGTTTTGTTTGACTATTTGCATTTGAAGTGTACGCACAGCCACTTTAAACTATGACATTAATTAAAAAACACCTATGTTTTGATTTATTTTGGATTATTCTAAACCATTTAGGCTCATCTGATAAACCTTTCGTGTTCCCTGACATCTGAGCCGGACACGCTCCCATTTCTCATTTATTTTCTTCCTTCTTCTAACATTTCTCAAACCAATCCTCCCGATCGCTCGCTCGCCGAATTGAGCCGGCCCACAAATCTCTGAGCTCATTACAGCGACCACCGTGCTGAGGAGCGACCTTAACGAGGTAGCTCTATTTAACCAGCGGAAATTAAGAAGAGGCCACGGCCCGGCCAAATCACATCACACAGCCTATCTAGACTGGAGAGAGAGTGCATTTAAAAGACCTTCATTTACATCACATTCCACACACCGAACTGGTTTTCTAACGGAGGAAAAGTTGGACACTCTCTGATCATTACAAAATACAGCGGGTAAAATAAGTATTGAACACGTCACCATTTTTCTCAGTAAATATATTACTAGAGGTGCTAATGACATGAAATTTTCACCAGATGTCGGTAACAAATTACAAATAACTTCATTTCTGGACATTTGTGGTTTGATTTCTTTGTATGTGTGAGGTTTAGACAGGAACAGATCCAGGGTGCAGGCAGGTTCCAAAAGTTGAACAAAAAATTTTAAATAACAAAAATGCTGTTGAAAAG